TTCTCGAGTTAGTGGTTTATCACATAATGAACTCAGAAATGAAAAATGAGGTAATTTGATACTAAACCTGTGAGGAGTAACAGGAGAACAAAAGGTCATACACTAAAAACCAATATTTGTTTGGGAAGACTCTTCAGATCCTTGATATTTTTTACACATTTAAAATTCCGATTGGTGCGGCCCTATTTAAGGGGGTTAACCCAGGAAGGCCAAAATTCAATCACTTATTCCATAAGGTATGATCTGTTAGTGTATATTTATATATCAACGCCTTTTTGATTTATCGTGCGAGAACGACCGGGCGGACGGATGTACGTAGACTTTTTGACGTTATTGAGTTGCACAATACTCCCGCTTAGGGTGTGCTAGGATTAAAAATGATCGCTCATGTTTAGGAATTTTGCATAATGAATTTTTCTTAAAGTAACATTCCTGAAGAAATCGACCTATCAGAAACAATTGTATAAAAATGTCTGTATTGTATTTTATTCATTGATGAACATTAGATCCAAACAAAAGATGTTGGTTATTTGGTTCAGTGATTCGAAATTTTATTTGCACTTAATCTCACAAAATGTAAGGAAAAATGGAACTCGACCGCTTTTGTCTTTTTTAATATATTCAATCAACTAAAGAGTATTTATTAAAGTTTCATCGAACCAGAACATTAGGTTTTGAATTTTAGATCTTAGGCACTGTACATAATTCTCTCCTTTCTGTAAGATCCTAGTTGTTAAACGCTTTTGTTGGTACGTGACCAAAAAGCTCCTCTTCCCTTTGCGTCCTTCTTTTCCATTCGTTTCTTTTTTCTCAGATTAAACAAACATTCTCTTACTTAGGATTAAAATGTGTACCCCCAAACTACAAGTGTCCCCTTAAATACCCCGACACAAATCCAATTCAAGTTCAAAAATTTCCTCTAAATACCCACTTCCATTATAAACAAGCCAATTACCTATGCTATTATTACGTCGCAACCTAACTAATCAACTACCAATTAAAACCCACTTTATTTTGCATTGATCTGCGAAAACGAACTAATTTAATACTCAACAAAATGCAAATCACTTTGCCCGAATAACCGTCGAGTTATAAAAGTTTTTGGACCGTGACCATTATAGGACGAGGCCTTGGTAATGACGAGGGTGGCTTAAAAATTACTAAACAGAGATGCTTCGCTTTGGCTTTATTACACGCTTTTGTCAATCAAGTGACAAGCTTAGACTAACTTTGTATTTGAGACTTAGAGGTCCCCGATGATCGCTCTAGATTTATGTAAAGTTGGTTAGGGTTGTGACTTCCAAACTACCGGGAGACAATAATTGACGTAAAACCCTAAAGGTAACTACGTTGTACGTTATGACTTTGTTGTTTATGAAACTTCATCAAAATATTTACCCATTTCCATCAACGTTCAACAAAATCGGTGTTCACTTACCGCGTTGGTGAACGGTTACTCTAGACTAGACGATGAAATTTGTTTATAAGTACTTTATGCGAGAGTTTTCTGTGTAATCGATTTAAGTTTGTATATTACAGAGACTTCTGGTATATTGCCACCGCTTCAATTTGCTACTGACTTACGTATAACTGTATTTTTAATTCAGTCCAAATCGTATTTCAACAAAAGTTTTGTATTTTTTATGGTCTTTTAATCGAATTCAAATATTTTTTTAGATATTCATATCAAAAGCTTCCATTCGCACCTGGTTTTAACGCCATCAAGTTGAACTGTAAGCTCAATGTGAGAAATGTCATCTATAAGCAGGAACGTTTATAAACAATAAATTCATTTACTTTTATTACATCGTTATTCTCCTTTAACGGTAAACTATTAACTGGCGATAGAGTAATTGGACTTTCGATTTATCTGCTGGACTTTCGTATTAGTAATGAAGCCCTAATGCAGATATCCAAAGACTTTCCTTAAAATATCTCGTGATTATCATCGGCTCTCGGTTGAAAGAGCCTCTTCCAAATGGTATCGAGTTTACAAATTGCAGAACTGCAAACGTTTAGAATGTGTAGAGTTAGTTTTTTACATTCCAACGAACTAAAATGTCAGACTTTAACCCTGTGGTATACACGGTGTCCATTTTTCGAGTGCCACTATGGGGATCTCGCTTATCTTAAGAGATAGACATTTGGTTAAATGAGGGCAAAATTTAAAATATCTTCAATAGTTTTGAAAATATTGCAAAAAAAGAAAATTTTTGATTTTCGTTTATAATTTTTGCATAGTAAATTAATCCTTCTAGACATTTCTAATTAACACATTATTCAGACACTTTTTAATGGAGACTTCGAATATGGCATCCCGTTTTCCATAACTTTTAAGATGACGGAGAAACACGTGGCAACTTTAATTTTTCTTATGGGCGCCGTTTTGGATTTTGACATTTTGAGATTACGTCTTTTTTTCTCTTTACAACGATATATCACACATGGTGGTTCAGTAACACATTTTTCCTAAAATTACAATTTTTAATTTTTTGAGAAGAGTGCTTTGGAAAAACAAAACGTTCTTTTGTTGTGAACAAAAGGTTGACTTATTTCATGTAGTGTAATTTACGTTTGTGCTAGATTTATTGCGAAAATATTATTTATTCTTAAGTATTTTGTTCTAATTTGAATTATAATTTTCTTGCAAAACGAAGGTTCAATTCTGTTCAGATGAAAATCTCAACACAACCCTGCCAACGCTCCAACCAGACAGATGGATCAAACTGTAAAACTTTTGTTCACGATAAAAGAAACGTTTTGTTTTTCCAAAGCACTCTTCCCAAAAAATTAATAAGTGTCTGAATAATGTTTTTTGCGATATTTTCAAAACTACTAAAGATATTTTTAATTTCTTTTAAGATTATTATTCAGCACGAAAATTCGCAACTTTGCCCCCATTTAACCAACTCTCTATCTCTTCAGGTAAGCGAGATCCCCATAGTGACACTCGAAAAATGGACACCGTGTATATACTTAGCGGTTATGTTTGATTACTCTGTTAACTTAATGATTCACCTTGCCCAGTTCCATTAGATTTCAGTTTGTCAAATGCATTAATCATTGTAATTAGTAAATAAACTTTAAAAAATCATCCCCTATCTCAAAAAAGTGTACTAATGCCGATAAAAGATTTTTAGCATTTTTGATTCGGTTAGAGCGGAAGTTAATTCCCATTTTTCACACCCTATATTTTATTCATGTTTAGATTTCAAAGTAACAATAATCATAATCAAGTTTATTAACAAAAGGGAATAATAAAACGATTGTAAAAAGGACAATTACAAAGTGAAGTTCAGGTATACAATGAGAAAGTCTTCGTATCAAGTTCTGCCACTTAAACCTTGACATATATACAAAAACTTATGAATTTAATATCTATCCTAAAGAAAAATTGCCCTATCTATCGAATTCCGTGATATTACTCAATCTCATATTTTTTTAGAGAACATTGAAAGTAGTACACATGTTTTAATATTGAAAGAAACCTGTTGTAATAATAAACACCCGCGTAGTTTCCATTAAGGGGGAGATTATTTAGATTGACAAGTATTGATTGACATATATTTTTCAAAAAAGATAGCAGTGTGGGGTAATAGTGCCCCTGCACTAAATATTAAGAGTATGCACGTCAGTAAGAAAAGAAATTTTGTTAATCAGGTAGAGGGGGTTGAGTCCGTTTCGGATATAGGATTCGGCGAGTACATAAGTAAAAATCGGGTGGGAGAAAGGCTTTCGAGACAAAACTACGTAACTTAAGCGCGGTGTTTTTACATAGCGTAGTATCGAATTTTTCGCCGAGCTGTGTAGTCGTACGTGATATTTTACTGCGAAATTGTTATTTTCTGAAATTTTTGAAGGCCGTTTTGACGAAATTATGGTTGTGGGGCCGTTATCAATTCCTTGTGAATTGCGATTACGAGAAAAACCGAACAACGTCGTCTTCGTCGTGTAGTGGACATTCTAAAACGTGCAGAACATTTGCTTGGTGTGGTATTATCGGATTAGCTTGCTCGCGTTTAAATAAATTGTTACCACGAAAGCGTTGAGGTCCCAGGTGCAGAACGTTAATTGCTTCTATATTTGGGGCGAGAATCTATCATTGCTCTGGTGACCGCTAGGCGTTTAGCACTTAGTAAGAAGAGAGTGAGCACATACGTTGTGTTCAAGGGTTTTGGGAGCGGCCAGGTGGCCTTTGGCAAGGTGTGGTTCACGGCGAAGGTAGACGACATCGAGTTGGACATTAGGGCGCTGGTGGCCGACGTTGAATTGTTACTGGGGCAGTCGGCACTAGGCGCACCAGGCCTCACTATGGTCGTACGGAAAGGCAGGGTGTTTCTAAACGACGAGGGCGATATCTAAGCGTTTCACCTTTAGAGAATTAGGTAATGAGAGCATTACTTTCTGTACTTTTGAGCATAGTACCATAGATATTTTTTTACGGCGAAAAAAAATCTATTTACTGACACACAATTACATTTTTTAACGTTTAACGAACTTAAAACCTTACAGTACTATACGTCTACATGGTCTGTTCATGTAGTATAATTTACTTTTTAATCTCTGCTTGTAGACCAATATAAATGAAAGGTAAGTTCCATAAAATAGCAGTCACGGTTACATAATACGCATAGGGGTACGGTAACGCACACATTGTTTAATCAAAAACTTATTTGTAACGGATATTACAACATATTCAAAGCAAGATTGAATTATGTTCTGTATTCACGTTACAATGTTTCAAATAGAAATGTAAATCCAATTTACATTAATCGCGACAGTATCATCTACATTCTACATTACATCCACGCTCACGTGCGATTTTCGCTAATGATTTGTTCGCTTATGAAGTTCCCGAACGACTCATTCAATTTTTATAGAGATCGATTTGTGAAATTTACAGCTCTCTTCTAGTGGTCATTAATTTAATTACATTGGCCGAAACAATCTCAACTTGGAAATAAAGCTGCGCCTACATTTACGTAGAAAAGGAAACTTACGTCAACATGCAGTCCGCCCTGAGGAAAGACTCTTGTAGGCGGCTCTTCTTTTGGTACGTATCTGTAAAACTCGTCGGTTCCTCGATACCACTTGACTGAATACAGCGGGGCATCCTCTAAGTCATAATCGCACCCCAAGGTAACAGAGTGTCCTGCTCTGACCGCTCTGGGGACCGTTAGCCTAACTCCTTTCAAACTTCTGCTCCCATATATTTCTGGAACAACGTACATTAATCAGAAAGCTTGCCTCCTTTCGCACTTACATTTTAAATTAAACTAATGCGATTTGGCAACTTTCAGACGGTAAAGTGCTCGGCCAGCAAATGCTTTAAATGGCGCAATACGGATACTTCAAGTTTCGGTGTTTCAAATGTATTAGTTCATTAGAGAAGTTTCGCTATTTGAAAGTTGAGGCCTAATGATAAGCCCTTAGCTTGCAAATTATTAATTGTCGTCGCTTGAGTAGTAGTACAAATAAAACAACTTACTTAATATGTTCGAGTGTTCGCTTTCAGTTTTCAGGCGAATTTATGGCAGTTGGGATGATGGGGATAAGATTTAACGATTCCCGCATGTTTGTCATAAACAGCGAGATAAACAAAAATTGTAAGCTGTTTTGATGTTTAGTTGCTGTAGAACTTTATTTATGTAACCGAGAAAGTTTCGTGGGCCGTTTTTCATTTCTTTTGTGTTTGCGGGGAAAAGGGGTTCGAAAAGTTTCGATATCCCACCTACGCCTACCACTCCTGGCTCCACTTAAAAGGTCTACTAAAATCACAGATCCGACGAGCGTACGTTGCCAAATAACTAACTAGACTAGAGTTGTGTCTCGCGGTGAATTTCTTTTGAAACAAGATACAAAAGCGTTTCTTATAGTACAGAGCTGGGCAGAATACTTTCAAAAAGTATTTGAATACTAAATAGTAAATACTTTGCACAAATCAAAGGTATTTGAATACTAAATACTTGTAGGTCCAGCACAAGCGAATACTAGATACAGATACATTGAAAACTATTCAAATGCTTAAAAAAAATAAGTACTCAAATACTTTAGAATGTATTCGAATACTTTCAAAAGTATTCTAATACTATCAAAGGTATTCGAATACAATAAAAAGTATTCGAATACTTTGAAAAGTATTTCATTAACTTACTTTGAAAAGTATTCGAATACAGTAAAAAGTATCCAAATACTTGTCACTCAAATACATTGAAAATTTAAAATAGTATACTAGATAAAAGTTTTAATACTACTTAAAAAATCAAGTTATACTTTGATTGGGGTTAGCTTTTTTTATATTTCTATTGTTATATACAAATTTAAGGGGAGTAGAAGCGTAATATTATTATTATATTATTATATAGGAGGTACCTACCAGGACCTTTCTTATACCAGTTATATCCTTAAGAATACGTGTACCAGTTTTCAAAGCGATCGTACGTCGTGCACATGATACGTACGCCTTTCTGAAATTAATCCTAACGATTTTGGAACAGATCCATTTTTGACCATCCGTTTGTCCGTGTGCATGATAACTTGCTTAGAAACGTGCGATCGCTTTGAAAATTGGTACACATGGTCTTAAGGATATAAGAAAGGTCCGTCCCTATTGTTTTTAAGTTACGTAGACTATCGAGTCAAAAAGTTTCACTCTAGGATCGTTCGGTATTGAGATGTATCGGATTTTTATATTTGATTTTGGGACAATGGAAACTTCCCCTAAACATTTCTAAATTGTTCTCAAATATTTGAATAACTTAAAAGTACTGCCTATTTTTGAGGCCGGAAAAAAATTGTCTCAGATCGACCGGGAAAAAACATTTTCTTATAGAATGTCGCCTGTAGAATCCATAATTTCAAACAGTTCCAAGATTGGGCTACTAGTTCAAAAGTTACAGTCCTTTAAATTTTCTTTCGAAATTTGTTTCTAGTCCATAACTTTTGATTGAGAAGTCTAATCGAAAAAGTACGAATTGTTGTGGATTCTACGAACCAAACTTAATAAGAAAAAGTGTTTTCCCGAGAAATTTTGGAGTAGGTAGTCTATTTTTGGTAAAAAAGGAAGGTTAAGTATTCAAACACTATGCGAAGTATTCGAATACTTCTCAAAGTATTCCAATATCTTGCAAAGTATTCGAATACTTTACGAAGTATCCAAATACTTTGCGAAGTATTCGAATACTAAATATTTGTGAAAGTGTTTGAGTTACAAATGCAAATACTGCTTCCATAGAAGTATTTAATTACAAAGTATTTGAATACTTTAAAGGATTTGAATACTAAAAAGCATTTGCAAAATCGAATACTGCCCAGCTCTGCTTATAGATCATTTGCCGTATAAACTGCTTAATTTTTCAGGCATTTGGAATTAATCCCCAACCTTGATTCGTAACAAAAGAAAAGTATAGCGTTATAGTTTCCCTTTAATTAAGCTCATTCCGGGAACCTAATTTCCAGTACTAGAGACGGTGGAACAGCTAGTGGCTGTTTTAGTGTCTCTAAATTTTCCCGAAGCATTAATATCCATATTTCTCGTTTTAATATGAACCGTATAGAAGATACAATAATGAAGAAGGGCAAGCGGTCTAGTTCAGATGGTGGTCTTACATGCTGAATTGTCTGTAAGGGAAGGTGGTATGAAGAGAAGAAGTAAGAGTCACGAGGGAAGTATTAAAAAAGAGTAGGGTAGCAATGAGGTGTAAAAGAAGCATGATACTAGAGTTCTTTAAGGGAATCGGTATAAATGAGGCATGAAGAAAGGGTGAAAGGAAATGCGAAAGGGGATATCTGATGGAAAGATAGGTGCAGGACAGAGACATGAAGAGAACGGAGAAAGATACCTAAATGGACCTGTCTGTGGATTAATTCCGAAGAATGACACTATTTATTCAGACGCCATGGTTGATAATGGTGGCCTCAAACTTTATGATTGGTGGAAAATAATTCGCGCTATACGGGGTGCTGGTTTAGAAACCTGACGGAGTGGGAAAATTGGTGTTCTCGGAGAACATTCGAAGATAAACTATAGCAGAGTTACGTAAAAACAACTTTGATAGCGCAGGGTGATTTTTTGTACGACATTCGTATTAATATTCTGGGCTCCACGTTGAGCGCCATATAAATAATGCCCTGCGTAATGGTATGCGGTCAACTATACAACGCACAAAACACTCGTCCAGCTAGCTCAATCATCAAAATTGGAACTTTTTATAATCTCTCCTATTATAATTTTGGCATCTGCCACAAAGTAAAATCCCAATATTATTTTAAATTAATAATTTTGGAGACTTGGTATCCTCGATCAACTTAAAATTCCAAAGGACTAACTACACCAAGTTTCATTATCACCTGACACATTTCTTGGACTCGAGAAGAAAAATCTGACATGAAAACTTTACCCAGATTGCACAATGGCTTCGAATAAACACAATTAATTGATTGACAATGACAAAATTTTATTGAAAAGAAAATTAAGCAAAATTCCTGAAGGGAGGAAACGATTGAAACGCTTGTTTGGACAAATTACCCCGCACGAAAGCGATTGACGAACAAAATAAGAAAACCTTAAAATTACTTACAATTTTTTTCCCTTTTAATAATGCTAATCTGGTCGTTCAACGGTTTGCAATAACAAAACGCACTTAACTTTCGCACAAACCCTGACACCTTCTGAACTTCAATTTTTCACACACAGATCTTGATGACAAACGAATTCGCTTGTGGAATACGATGATGAGCAATATTATAACTATTAATTTTTAACAACAAGAGAACCTCATCGGAAGGTCTCACGGTCAACTTCACTAACTTCGTCCATATACGAAGAACACGCTTTAAATTTCTCAAGAGTCTTTTCCTACCGTCGCGAATCTAGCAGCAATCTTCTACTTGCAGTATTTAACGATATAAATTCCATAATAAAATAAATCTCCTACTTCCGGGTTTTATAAATAAAGCGGCAATCATAATTCGCCTCGATAACGCCAGCTTTGACAAAACGCGTCGCGCGTCCTCACTTCCGCCGAAATGCGCACACCATTGAACACCTGCATAATTAATTCGTTATCTTTTGTAACAGCGATAAAAAGACACGTGGGATAATTAAATCTCATCCGATAACAAAACCTCTTATCGCAAACGACCAGATGTGCTTACATTTAAACACGCAATTTCACGTTTTACAATTAAGTAAATAAATAAAGTAAACAACAACCAACCACAACAATTCTAAAAGGAAAAGCAACACCACAATAACACAAATTCAAATGAAATAAACCAATTCTGTGCTTATTCATAAAAAACCCAGATTTACTCGTAATAAATAGAAAAATAAACCTCATATACAGGGTGGCTTCATTACTTTTTTTTAATAATTTTAAGTTCCGTTACAAGAATTGGTTTGGAATTCGGTTCCATCCTTTTTTTTTGTGGATCTAATATAAGTGGTACCCACTACCTAAGAATGCTGTCTATCGAATAGAGCACTAAATGCTGCGTCGTTGTTTTTTGACCGATGTTACTAGCTTTAAAAATAGCGTAAGGGAATTTCTAAAAATGAGAGTGAAATGAGGTTACGTCTATTTTTGAGTAGTGAAAGGTAAAGCTTCAAGAAGAAAAGAGCATCTCAAACTATAGGAAGGCGTGGAAAATAAATAGTAAATTAATCATTACATTCAACTGAAAACAAAAAAACCGTTGAATAATTTATTTAGCCTTTATAATAAAAATAAAAATTTAAACATCAAGTGTCCAGCCGGAATTCCGGTGATTAGGTGTCAGTTTAAAGTTGAGTTCAAAATTAAAATTTCAGGTATTACATATTTTACATGATATCGCGGGGAAATCATTTCATTTTGTTTCACAGGTAACCACAACTGGTGCATCTAGTCATAACAAGTATGATTCCACTGCACTTAGAAAACTTCAGACAGCTTCAATTGGAACATATACAGCGTATACCGTATGCGATGGCACCTACGACCTAGTTATTCTACGTTGACCGCGCGTTAAAATGTCATCCCAAAAAATTTACACACAAGGAATCTTTCAGGAAATTGCGTTACCTACATCTCCTTAACTGTCGAGTTCGCTCTAGGGGATATAGATAATAAATACAGATATGTACAACAGTGTTTGTGATCTTTTTCTGTTCTCGTAATTCGTACAATTTGGCTACAATATCTTAACAGCTTTGTTGCAAAAATTCGCATTTCT